CATGGCCCAGCTGTTGCCACCACTCTCTTCAGGGTACAGCTCTACCCCAGAGGGGATGTGTGGTGGCAGGCAGTGCAGGTAGTCTGAGGGGAGCAGCGGCCAGGCCATGGCAGCGGGACAGAGCAGAGCCCAGTGTGAAGCAGTTGGCACTGGGAGAAGGTAAGGGCAATACAGCTCCCCAATCTGTTACTCCTTGTGCTACTGGCAGCACAGTCTCTCTGTCCCGTTCTGCCCTCCCACACTGGGTCCTGCCTACTAGGCTGCAGAGGTGACTCCTGCCCATGCCAGTCCTGCAGCCCTACGCCTGCTGTGGGTGCACAAATATGGGAGGGCATGTGCCCCACACATCCACCCCTTGCACCACACACTGCGGGGCTGGGGCCTAGGGGTGGGGGGCAGTGGGTCAGGAGCGAGGGACACCAGCACAGCTAAGGGGCTGTTTTCTACTTAAACTATTTGCTGGATAAAAACTGGCCAATGTTTACAAATGGGTCCTGGTACAAAGAAGGTTGAGAACCACTTATCTAGAATACTTAGTACAGCTTTGTGCTCCACATTTTAAAAAGGAGGTGGAAAAGTTAGAGGGAGTTCAGAGGTGGGTGACAAAAGTGATAAAGCGTTTGGAAAGCAAGTCATACAAGGAGAGGTTGAAGGAAACAGGTATGTTTAATTTGCAAAAAAGGAGGTTAAGAAGGGGCACAAGAGCAATCTTCAAATACCTGAAGGACTGTCCGATATACAGCCTGGCAGCTTGAAAGCAGTGTCTGGCTGGTATATGTGTTGTGGTGGAAGGAGTGGGGGGAGGGAAGAGGCATGGGGGGGGAAGGCAGATCGAGGCCTGTGAGGGAGGGAGGGAGTGGGGCTGGGGCAGGTGCCACCCTGCTGGAGCAGAGTGCGGGGCACAGCCATGAGCAGCTTGTTCAGGGGGTGCGGCTTCTGACGCTGCATGCACCCCAGGAGGGCATGAGGGGCATGTGCTCCCAGATCTGTACATGGGGTGAGGGCGGGCTAAGGCTGGGGTGGCACTAGGCTCTTCCCAGTGGGGGCCTGGGCCAGGCTGCACTTGGATCAGCGCTAGGAAAGGGACTATGGGTGGGGCTGCAGCCACCCCAAAGTTTGCCATAGCTCCCCCAAGCCCCTCCCAACACTACCGCTGCCAGTCCCGAGTGCAGCCCAGTCCAGGCCCCCCCGCCAGGAAGAGCTCAGCACAGCCTTGGCCGTCTGCTGGGGGGGGCATAACTCTCTTCCTTGGATCTCTTAAGTGTATTTTAACAACCTTTGCAGCAGAAGGATGGTGGCCACCACAGTCTGCCTCCTTTACCTGTTGCAGAATAAAGAGTCTTGTGGTCAGGTCAGGGTGACTGTGTAGTTTTGCTAATAGGTTAATCAATGTATTTGTATAGGATGGTTTGAATAGGGATTAACCTACCTCAGGCAGGGGATTAATTTAAATTACTTTGGAGGTTCATTCCAGCCTATTTTTCTATGATTCTAACTGAGATGAGAAGATTCCCTGCTAGTTTAGATGAAACAGGGACAGAGGTGAAGACAACAGACAGCGAGATACAGCAACAAGGAAAGCAGCTTGGGGGTATCTCAGTCTGATTACATTTAGTTCGGGGAAGATTTCAAACGTATGTAGCTGGATATGCAACCAATTTGCAAATTACATCATTTTAGCATGTGTTTATAAATACAAGCCACTCACATGTAGAGGTGATATTTATTTGGAAAATAGAAAGTTTTATATTCCCAGATAGATCAAGAATGGAGGTAAGTAATTTAACAGGAACACATCTTGAAGAAATTTCCAATAGTAGAAATATTCCACTTAATACGTAGATACCCACGCACTTGACATGTTGCAAACAACTCTACAGCAATGTTAAGAGTGTGTCTAAATGAAAGGAGTATACAGTTAAGGCTGAAACTCAATCCTTTCTTCTCAGTATGTATTTTATACTGTTGAAGACTATATACAGAATGGGTGATTATTTTGTTACGTGTTGGAATAATTAGGTACAATTAAGTGCTCAAAAATGGCCCAAACCAAATACTGTAGTAAGTTTTACACCATTAGGAAAGTACTTCCTTACACAGGGTAAAGAGAAGGTTCCCAGTTGTGTCTGAATATGCTTGGACACAGCAAGAGGGGCTCAGACCTGAACAAAACGGAAAATGCATAGACGGTGGGGTGGAGGAAGGACAACTTGATGCAGGAGGTGGTTATGCGAGCAGCTCTGAACCAACTTGTTCAGTTAAAAGAATCACAGTGTGCAGAAAGAAGATCAGTAAGGTAGCAAATACCTGTGCACCCTTGCTAATTTGGAGGCTCTGAGAAACTGGCATGTTCTCCCATCTCTGTTGTGTAATTTCTTCTGATAAGCGCCTATAGAACTGCACATTTAAAAAAATAGAATAAGGTCACCCTATGCCATTTAGATTGTGTATTATTAACATCTCATTGATCAGAGAAACAAATTTCCCCAAAGACCAAACACTATCGTGCTTGCATATTCATATTGCACTTTATATTCATTTTGCAGATCAAACAAACATATGCATTATAAAAGGAATTGTAATAGTTACCAGGTAAGCTTGCCTGACTATTATTTCTATCTACAAGTGTCTTGAGATTTGTAACTCTTCAAGACATAACAAGATTGCAATTTTTCAGGTTCCATCTCAGATTATAAGTATTTTTTTAAAGAAGAAACTTGAACAATTATTGATACAGCTGCCACAAGATTATATCAATTCTATGCAATCTGTATAACAAAGCTTAAATTCCATTAATTTATTTTGGATTAATATTAGTTAGTAGTGATAGTGCATCATTTTTCAATATGCATGAAACCTCTCAGGTTTTTATAAAACAGAGTGATCAGCAGACCAACTCAGAGACCCATCAGGGATAATGCAGATGTCACTCTCCATACTGCCATATTTCCATTGTATGGAGACTTGTTGCAGACACATTTTAGTAGAGGTAGCTTGAGTGGTGGCAGTAATAACCCCCATGACTCCCTGAGCTGACATAGCAGCTGAGGCAGCTGTGGGGGTTAATACTGCTGCTGCTCACTCCACTGCCAGAGGCGAGTCCAGCTCCAACCCATGAAGAGCCCCGCGGTCTGGATCCAGTTCAGTGGGCCAAACAAGTCTGAGACTCCTAATCTGCAACAGTGGTGACCAAACTGTGGTTCACAGGCATGTTGCCTGCAAGACCATATACTGCTGCTCATGGAACTGGAAATTTTGCTTTCTACAGATACAGGTTTCTTCAGGTTGACAAGGAAAGCAATGTATAAGATTGTTTGTAGTGACCTACTTGCTCAGTACTGTTGACCATGAGCCAATAAAGCTGGGGACCACTCCTGTTCTGTGGGTCAGAATCTCTTAGTAAGCATCTATATTGCAGAATTCTCTTTCCATACATACTCTAGAGTTAAGCTGTGGCATTGTTTTAGTTTCCCTTTAACACTGTGTTTGAGGGACAGATGCCAATTTTTGCATTTGTGGGGACGTTTTCCCACTGAAGCACAGTTTACCTAGGATACATTGCTCAAGTAAGAATTACGGGCTTAAATTAGATTTCCTTAGAGTGTTTTGGACTGACTATCAACCATATTACTTAATCAACATGTATATAGGATACATTTTTTTCTAGATCTGAAACAATAAAAAGGAAATTGCTTAGAGGTTAAATGGCTGCTTAAAAAGAAGTTGCTTGCTCTTATGTTTCCTATTTATAAAATAGGAAAGTACAAAAATCACTGACCAAAAGCTTCATTTATTTTGTTAAATAGTCCAAAGATATCTTAAAACAACCAAGCTATTTTCTAAACTACTGTAATATCTAATTAGAAATCTAAAATGAGGCCTAAGATACTTTAAAATAATAACATAAATGTTACTGTAAATTATATTTTCCAATGTTTGGGATAGTACTTCTACAGTATTCATGTGTCTATGAAAACCTGATAAACCTTATTCATAACACAAGATGACAAAGTGAAAAAGCTCACAGCCCAAAAACAAATACTGGAATATGAATAGTATCAACAGTACAGGGTGAGCAGAAACATTTGCCTCCCTTTTCACTTATTTGAGTGCTCTGTATGTAAATTTACCTCAATCTGACCATGTTCTTTGAAGGAAAGTTTGATGTAGGAATATATACTGCTCTGGAATGGACCAAGATCTTTGTTTGAAGAAGTTGGGTGCAGATGAACCACAATTTTGGCACTAAAGAAAGATATAGGGAGAAAAATGGGAGGAAGAAATGTTTTCGCCTATATTTATAAAAGTATATTTCTTAAACATGCAAGTCAGAGTTAAGAATTTAACCTAGTTCTGTATTAACTACCCCATCAACAATTTAGGCTTTAATAGTATGTTATTAATAGATTGATAAGAACAGAATACTTTATATCTTTACATTTAAAAAGGTAACAGTAGCCCCTAAAATATGAAAGGCTTCACTAATGCTAAAACATACATGCTTATCAACTTTTAGAAAGGAAATGTGACTTACAGTTTAAGAGTTATAAGAACAAGAACTTCTGAAAACGACTACAAGCTGCACACTAACTGTCAGGTGATGCATTTGATCAAGGTGCTGACCTGCAACCTAAGTCCCAAAGGCTTTGTAGCGACTCCTAACAGCTGCCAAAACACATTAACTTTGTCATATGAAAACAAAAAAGTCTCAATGTCATATTTAACCTTTCTCACCTGTGTATGTCATTGAAGAACACTATGTGAATCCATCCAAAACCAACACTCTAAGTGAACATGCATGGAAACAACATAGTATGGTATGATACTGAACAGCAAAACAACTCCTGAAACAACATTGTTTTTGCAAATATAATAGCCGACTCTCATTTTATTATATTAAATCTATTATTCCTGTCCTGTTTTACAAACACATACACTTTTCCATGTTAGATCTCCCAAAGCTGCTTTATGCTTGTAACAATTGAAATATAGTCTCCCAAGTGGCTGAAGGTACACAAATCTGAAATTCAGGCCACAGATGGAAGCAGAGGTAGATCAGACATACTTCTTCATAAAAGCTCTCTCTTCTCATGGTAATGTCTGTATTGTTTCATAATACTCTAATTATCTTCAAAGTGAGACAGCTTTCATGAGCCTCCTGTAACGCCTGTTAATGGTTTCCCCAAGCAGTTAGTTGGTATTGGGGTAAGCTACATCAGTTGCCATCTAAGTATGGTTCTTACCACCAACCAGTTTTAAACACTAAAGCTGCAAATAGAGGTTGCCTTTCTGTCACCATAAACATTTTTATGGAGGCAAATAGATGTTGATGCCCCTGGTCACGCCACAAAAGCCCAAAGTTGTGGCCATGACAATTTGTAGTAATAGCTTGTGCTACCTTTTTAAAGAGGACATGTGTTTGTTTGTGGCATAAAAATCCAGGCAGCCTGGGGCTTCATTTATTCCTCGGGCTTCAGGGGCCTGACTGCATGACAACAGCCTTGGATGCCTGATCTCACCCTGTGACACATGTCCTAGAGGCTTTCCTCTATGTGTCTGCAGACATGCACCCTAGGAATCTCCTGCAGGATCAGGCCCATCCACTCCTGCAGACACACTCCGGAAATTCCCTTGCAGACATGGAGCAGAAACCTCAGTGGGTTCTCCCCCTTGCAGATGTCAGGCACAGCAGCACGAAATGCCCTGTAGGGGATTCCCAGCATGCATCAGTTTTATGCTGCCACACTCCAGGTTACGGTATAGTCTGCAAGCGCAGAGGGTGAGACTTATGGGAACCCCTCACTCCACATGTACAGATGTGCTAAGGATGTAAATATTGTTGAAAAAAATCTCTGTTTAACCTCCTCTACATATTTGTTAAATGGTTAACCAATAACACATACCTAGTCCTGGCTGGGGGGTGCAGAGCCCTGGGCCGGCACCTGCCCTGTCCCACCCGACTGGGTGGGGACATGGCTGCTGCTGGGAGTTGCTCCCTGGTGCCTTTGACAGGGTGGGGAGCCCATGTGAAGCTGCAGATAGTAGCAGCAGGCAGGTGGCAAGGTGCTTTCCCAGGCCACTGTTGCCACTGGTGCACTGGGAGGGAAGGAGCAGGCAATTCGGGTTAGGGACAAGTTTAAAATTTAAGTAACCTGCCCTGTTATCTCCCTCCAGCCAGCTTCCCGGCACCACCTGTGAACAAGCAACTAATTTCTTAAGTGACAAGTTACTGTGCTGGCTGTTTTCCTCTAACCTCATAAGCTATAGGTACTAGTCTCCCCATAATCCATACTCATGTCCTCTCCCTCTCCTCACTTCTTCCTCTGTCCCTCTTGCTTATCTTGCTGCCTTCCTATTCCTGAGGCACCATGCTGCTTCCCTTGCCTGCCAGGCTGTGCTCCATGCAAAACGTTAACTGCTAATGCTGGTATACATATACTTATCGTTTAAACATTTTCACCTTTCACATCCCTAATGTGTGCCCTGGATTCTCTCAGCTGCCATGTGCTGCTATGTATTGCTATTCCCCAAGTCACGGTGCATCACCCAGGGCCACTGTCCTGTGGGGTTAGGCCCCTGCAGCCCCACAAGTGGAAGGATCCCTACACTGCAGGACAACAGCCCTGGGTGACACCATGAAGTGGATCAAATATGCCAGGCAGACAAGGTTCCTTGGGTGAACTTGATATCTTTTATTAGACCAACCCAAATAGTTGGAGAATAGTTATTAAGCAAGCTTTCGGGTTCAAAAACCCTTCGTCAGGCTAAGGAAGTCTCAGCAGCTGGTGTGTGCTCTTCCTGGATGGAACGAAAAGTAAACTTCCTTAGCCTGACGAAGGGTTTTTGAACCCGAAAGCTTGCTTAATAACTATTCTCCAACTATTTGGGTTGGTCTAATAAAAGATATCAAGTTCACCCAAGGAACCTTGTCTGCCTATGTCCTTAGACCAACACGACTACAACCCTGCTCAAATGTGCCAGGACACTTCACTTCGTAAACATCAGCTCATAGCCTAAGGCTAGTTTTCAAATTCACATTTGAGATCATTACAGTGGCGTCACCGATAAATCAAACACATACAAATGCTTGTTACAAAATGCCAGGCTGAAACACGGATGCATTGACTGAAGTGGTTACACAGCCACTGACTTTTATTTGTTACACACACACAGCTTTTCATAATGATTCTCCTGTCCACTTGACCCATGTATCTTAAAAAGTGAATGGATAATCATATGGCCTTTGAATCAGGACATCTAGGTTAGATTCCTGGCTCTATCACAGACTTCTTGTGTTATCTTAGACACGTATGTAATATGATTTGCCTAAGACTGCTAAATGTGAGAAACATATATGACATCTTACCTTTTTCCTATTCCAGCTGCCTGCTCTTCAATGAAGACAATTTGAGAAAGAGGAATAGCAATGCAGTATTCCTAAAATAATCAACACAATATAAGAAACAGAAATTATAGCTATGTTTTGGAGAAGCTTCAAACAACGTATTTTTTTCTTTCAATTAACTAACAAAGTGTTAGCACTGATCTTTTTGGGGCAGGTTCTGCCATAAGCCAGTTCATATATACATACGATTATGGTTACAATAGAAAATTAACTTCTGAAGGGAAGTTATGCAGAAAACAAAAATGAAGTTGCATGAGTTAAACAAGCAGGCAAAGATAGAACAATATTCTTAACTTAGCCACTTGGGGCTAAATTAAAAGGTCTCCCATTTTAGGCACTTAAATCCAAAGTTTGGGTCCTCAACACTGTCACTCAGCTCCAACTTACTCCTGGAGATGCCTAGAAGTCTATAGGTACCTAAGCTTTTGACTGTGAAGGGACTTAGGTCTGTTGCTGAGCCTAAAAGAAACATCTTGATGGTCCTACGCAGTTTGGCACCTATGTCTACAATGGGGATTTAGGCACCTTTATGCCTACTGAAAGGAATGGTTTAGGTGCCTAATTCCCTTTCAAATTCTGTCCATAGCTAATGTTTAAGCCCTGTGGGGGACTGACAAATTAGATATTCCATTGCCTAGCTTCCCTTCAGGGCCCAATTACTAGGAATTCTCTATGCAGACTAATTGACAAATAGGGCCTGATTCTAATTAGATTAGGTCCTATACAGAACACACCCAATGAAGGAGGTGGTAACGCCATGAGCAGTGTCACCCTTTGTACAGGCATTTGTGGATTACATTAAGTCTGGCCAACCTGTGGCACATGTGCCACAAATGGCATCAGGAGCCTCTGTGTTACATGCATCAGACTGGGGAGGAGACAGGCAGCATAGCAGCAGATAGGGCAGGGAGCATAAAGCAGAGCAGATCAAATGAGTGGGGAAAATCAGAGTGGCACATGGAAAGTAGGTGGGGCTAATTTGTGGCACACTTGCCAGAAAGGTGGGTTAGAGCACTTAGTCAATGTGGAAGCTTCCCTCCTTTGCTGGAGGGAATTTAAATATCTTTTCCCACAATCCTTCCTGGAACTAGAGCACGGGTGTGTGACTGTTTGGGCTGGAGGGCCGCTTAACAAATTGTGACGAGCTGTTGAGGGCTGGGGAGGGAAGATGCCAATGATCCTATCTGGCCTGCCAGCTACCACTGAAAGACTGAGGGAGGGCTGCACCCCATGCCACTCCATTCTGCTGCAGCCACGGCTGAGCTAGGTGGTACAGCACACAGACTACTCTTTCTCCTCCCTGCCCCTGCATTCATCCTTCCTCAGCCTGGCTTCCTGTTGGCACCGTGCAGTCCTGGCACAGAAGGCACCAACAGCCAAGCCAGCATGGGACAGGGTGCAATGCAGTACTCTGAGCGGCTGTCCTGCCTGCCTACCATGAGGAGTCACTTCCACTGCACCACACCAAGAAAGTTGGGGGAAACCACATTTGATCTAAATATGCATCATAGAGAAGGATGCAAAAATAAGACAGGAGAGTGCTTGACATCACCATAGGTGTCAGCAACTTTTATAGAGCAGAATCTGACCTTTGAATGACTATTGTGTCCCTATGTCACACTGGCATTTGTGTTTTCCCTTCACATGCTCCTTGACCAGCTTCCCTCCCCTGAGCTGTTTAATCCAGTGTCTTTGAAAGCTAGTTCCAGTCTGTGCTGTCTGTGTGGGTGGCTCAGGAGGCAGCGGTTCAAGAGTCTGTTGACGCCTTGTGCAGCGTCAGGGTCGGCTGCGCTGTTCTGTTAGGAGGCCAGACACTGGTTTTGTATGAACACTGGATTTCGTATGTACCGGAGATTAGGATAGGGGTGATGCTGCCTCAGGCCGGGGGCTGGACCAGGTGACCCCAGCAGGCCCCTTCCCGCCCAGCTGGTCTGTGGTTCCTGAACGGACAAGGCCGCTTGTAACATCCAAACTGTCTCCGACAGGATGGCAGGCCCCACTTTGGTTTTTCGTCCCTGGCAGATCCGCTGGGGTCCCCTCCATGCTGGCCCTGCAGACGCGCTGGGGACCCCGAGGCAGGTGGCAGCAGGCGAACTACTTACGTGGTTCTTCTGATCCCGCCAGAGCAGGCGGTGTGTGCTCAGCAGCAGCGCCCCGGCCTCCAGCTTCACCTAGACCGCAACATCAGGGGGAGGTTTACGGCACGTGCCCCGAGCCGCCGACCGCCCGAGGACCGGACTTGGGGGGCGATCCCAGCACGGCCCAGGGCGGGGGGAGGGGCAGGGCCCGCGGGGCCGGGCAGGGAGCAGCGAGGCCGGGGCCCCTGCCCTCACCCTCACCTTCTCGTCGCCGTCATAGAGGCGCACGCCGCGCTGCTGGAGCACCAGGCTCTCGCCGATCTCCAGCAGCCCGCTGCTCCAGG